CAAAAAAATTGAAACTAATAGTAGATCTCACGTCTGCAAATTGCAGTCATCAAGTACAACAGTGAGTTTTAATTTTATTTTAAGTTACATACATATGACTTTTTTTCTTTCTTTGTTTTTAAAAAGTCAATTTTATATAATGTATTTTAATTTTATATAATTTTACATAATATTATTTATATATATATATATATATATATATGTAATTTCAGAGAATTGTCAAGCACTTTTGCACGTTTGTGTCATTTAGTAGACGAAGCAACATCTGAAATGGATACTGAATTAAAAAATATTGCAAGTACAATACGAATATTGGAAGAAGCAACTAGTAGTGCTAAAGTTTTACGAAATAAGGCTAATTATTTAACAAATGAACTCGATTTGTTCGACGCAGCATATTTGAAATCTTTAAATTAAACATTGAATTACATTTTTAAAAATAATACAAATAATTAAATATCGATATTAAGAACATCATTGTTTCAGAAAATATACTTACGTATGCTGTGATTATTAATACGATTTATGGTGTTGTCAATATTTTAAGAAACATGCATACTTGGATGTGTTTTTTGAAACAATTTCTATGCAGAGCTGGAAAAGAGACATTTGCAGATCTGATTGGTTATTTCTGAGTAGATTTATTATAACTGTAAAAGTAGGAATACTGATAGTGTTACACTTTTAAATAAGATTATGTAACATTATGTGATGGTGACCATTCATTAGCCTTTTTTTCAGTTCTGCTTAGTATTTATGTATACAAAAGGAATGTTTTTACAAAAAAAACTCTAGTCTTAAATACAGGCAATCTTTTCATTTTTTCTAAATTTATCATCTTAAATTTTTATCGAATTTTTTATAATTTAAAATAGAAAAAAATGATTTCATTCTAACAAGACGAGCACAAAAATATATTCTTAACATTCAATAGATCTTTGATGAATTTCTGAATTTTTTTTTCTGAATGATTTATTGTCAAATTAATCATGTTAAAAAAAATTATTTTTTACGAACAAAAAGCCAGTATTTTAAAAACATCATTAAAATATAAATGATTTATATTCAAATCTATTACAGAAATAATTGAATCTTATTTATATAGAAATGAAATAATGGAATTATTAGATTTATTAGATTATATTTATAAAGAGCTTATGTTATATATAAATAAAAGATTGTTGAATAAGGATTATATTTGTATTTCTCGATTTTTTCACGCATTATATTAATATGATTTTAAGGTAAGATTTTGTAAGAGTAAGATCATTGAGAGAAAACGAAACGCATGATCGACATAAATATAACCTCGTAAAACATATATGAACTTCTAAAATGATTCGAATATATAATTATATCAAACTAAAATATAGTAATAATATATTGCGATTGTTTAGCGTTGTAAGTTTTATTCAATGTGACATTTAAATTATTATATATCTTATTCTCATTCGTTATTTTTATTTTATTTAGAAGGTATCTTCTAACCTAAAAAGTCCTGCACAAATTGACTTAATTGGACCGCCCGATCCAGTTTCAAATTTAAGACCTATTATTTTTGCAAAATCTGAAAATGAAAGTAAATTAGAAAAGAAATTTAGAGAAGCCAGGGAAGATACGCAAATTTGGAATCAAAATTTTTGGCGGGAACACAATAACAATTTCATTGAAGTATAACATTATTTTATATAATTAATATGAAATGTTAATTGAAAATATTTCAAATTTTATTTATTAATCATGTCATAGGAACGCAGACAATTTCAAGAAACTCTTAAAGCTCAAGGAAAAACATCGATTACGGCAGATGATATGTCAATATTTTATAAAGAATTTTTAGATAAAAATTGGCGTATGCATTTAAATTATAACATTGCTTGGTATAAGAGAAATATCAAATTATTGTTCCTTGAGATTAGAGTAAGAATATCTAAATTAAAATTTAGATAATTAACAATGTTGATTCAACATCGTATATTGTACATATTTACAATGTAAATCCATATTTATCCTTTATATGTAAGTTGTCAAAAATAGAATATATATATTATGAAATACATAAATACTATCAAGTATTTATTTATATATAATTATATTGAATATTTTAAAAACTTTCAACATAATTACAACTAAATTTAATTGTGTGTATACTACATTAACTATTTATTTTTAAATAATTTTCATATTATTGTGACACATTTGATTTCTTAAACATCCTATTTCATGTTGTTTTCTTTCAATAATCAATTGCATATATCTGTGCTGTTTTCTTTCACAAATAAGCTTTTTTTGATATTCTTTTACATTTTGATGTAACTTTTGATATGCACATTTTGCAATAGCAATTGCTTTCTGTTTTTCATTTTTCAAATAATTTATTTCTGCTGTAAGTTTTTTACATTGTTCACATTGTGATAAAATGCTTAATTTACTATCATTCTGATCTAATGTTATTTGCAAAGATTCATTCTTTTGTTTTTCTTTATGTAATTCATCTTTAAGTTCATTAAATTCAGAAGCAACTTGTTGAACTATCTCTTCACTATCATGCAATAACTAAATGCAATAAATATTTTTTTAATATAATATTAGTATTTTAACTATTTTAACTAAACTATATAATTAAATTTATTAAATTAATCTTTGTCATAAATATATTACCTTTTTCTGTTTTGATATTGTTTTATTTTGATCATCTATCATTTTTTCTTTTATTCTCAATTCAGACAAATGATTTTCTTTGCTAGTTTCTAATTCCTGTTTTAAACAATCACAAGTTTGTCTTTCTTCACATAAACAATGTTGCAAATGTTTTATTTTGTCTTCCATTTCTTTAAAAGTAGAATTATTTGAGTGCAATACTGTTTTTATCTCTGATAACTCAATATCCTATTAATATAAATTAAATCAGTATAAAATCATAATTTAATTTTTTATATTTGATTTTTTCTTTATATTTTACTTTTTGAGATAATTTTTTATCTTTCTCATGTATGTTATTTTGTTGTTCATTACATATACCAGTTACTTTACATATTCTTCTTTTCTGTATATTTATTATATTTGTGAGTTCTAAAATCATATTTATGAATTCTGCTCTCTCTTTATTTAAAGCATTTTCCTTTTCTTTAACCGCATATTTCATCTTGTTCACTTCTTTTTCAACCTCCTCACACCTTGTATGATTGAAGCATGCATTTAGTATCTAAAGTGATTCTTAGATTATATTTTAAAGAAATAAGAATTTATATTTAAAATTATATTAAATATTGTAAAATTACTTTTTAGATTCATCTTCTGAGAAAGATTTCAATTTGTTCATTAAAATATCCCGTTCTTGCAATAAATCATTATTTTTATGTGTAATTTCAACAATCTGTTGCTGTAAAAAAATAATTATTTTATAATTAATAAATAACTTTATTTCATATATATAAATATATATTATATATTTTCTAATATTTTATATATTGTTATTTTAAAAGACAAATTAATTAAATATTAAAGCTATAGTTTAAAAAATAATTTTTTTTTAAAAGTATAAAATATAGAAGAGGGTAAAGAATGAGAAAAAGATAAAAATAAAATAAAAAAAAACAAAAGGATAAAATTGACAATCAACGCCATCTTTTTGTCATTTTTTAAATATTTTTAAAAATATATTATTTGACACTTTATCTTATCTTGTTTTTGAAGAAACGATGTTAATTATCTTATTTTTCATTTTTATCCTTCTTTTATTATTATATATATTTTTTTGTCTTTTTTTTAAGTGTTTTATTTGCAGCACTCTAAAAATGATATTGATTTTAATATTTTTACAATTTCTGTTCTTTCATTATTTATTCTCTTTATTTATATTTATTTTTGACAAAAGATATAAGATATCAAAATATATTTTGATCATTTCTCTTTCAAAACTATATTTTCATCTTTAATGTAAAAAATATAAATATTTTATTGTATAATATATCTCAACGACGATGATTTCGTAAAATATATATACTAATATATGATTCGAGGCATAGTGGTAAAATTTTAATTAAAATATTGTCAATACAATGAAAAAATTAAAAAAAAAAATAGAAAGAAATTTTAAAGCATTATATTGAAAAATAATGTTATCAAAAATTTATTTTTTTTTTTATCAAATTTTTTTTTTTGCTATCAAAAAATTTTGATATTTGAAAAATCTGAATAAAAAGTATGTGAATTTTTATTTATATATAAAAATAAAAATTTAAAAAAAAAATACATAATAATTATATATATATATATTTATAATCAAAATATATTAAGAACAAATTTTTTAATTTTTAATACATGTGTCTCATATTTTATATTTATATTTTAATATAAATATATTTATATCTATATTTTAAATATATAAGTACGATCTATAGTACATACTTGTAATTTTGTGATTTCATTTAATAATTCAGTTTTATCTTCTTTATCTGTATCTATTTGAATTTTTGATTGCTTCACTAAATCCATTGCAATTTTTCGTTGTTCTTCAGCTGTTTGTAATGCATCTTTTAAGCAAGCTGCTCTTTGTTCACTATCCTCTTTTAAACAATTTATATTGCAAGTTAGAGATTTTAATTTTTTTTCAAGTTCTTCAGTCTGTTTTTTTTCACTTAAGAGATCCTACAAATTACGTTTATATAAATTTAAATACAAACAAAAAATAATTATTATAAATAAAACCTTTTGAATTTTCTCAAAAATTTTTTTGTCTTTTGCACAAACATCTACAATATTATTAATTTCTCCTAACTCTTTTATAAAATTCTCATTTATTTCCTCCTGTTCTATTATTTCAGTTTGTATATCTGTGTTTAAAGTTATAAAATTATTATCTTTTGTAGGAATAGTTTGTTCGCCTTTTTCTTCAAATGTATCAATTATTTCATCTTGTACTTTATAAAACTGTGGAGTTATTTGATCAGATTTGTTTTCTTTCTCTAATTCAATTAACTCATTAACTTTCTCTAGCTCAATCAACTTAGGTTTCTGTAACTCAATCAACTTAGGTTTCTCTAATTCAATCAAGTTAGGTTTTTCTAATTCTTTCAATTCTTTAGTATTTTTTATTTTATCATTTTTAACTTCATCTTTAAAATCTAATAAATAATTTCATATTAATTAATATTAATAATATTCTATAAGTTTTTTTTTAGATCAATGACATTAATATACCTTCAATTGATGAAATATTTTTATAAAAATGTAACTTTCTGCGTGTTTTACATTTTTCTGGAGTGCATACTATCCTTTTTTTACCAGTGTCATATGTACATTCATCAGCACAATTGCGCATGTTTAATTTCTCTTTCAAATATAAAATTTTTTGAGCACAATAACAACATTTGCCAAAATAATTGGGTATAGCACACTACACATATATACAGTTTTTTTAATAATTATTATATTTCTTATAATTATTATTTTTATAACAATTATTATTTACTTTTTTACATGTTGTATAAGGATACACATTATATTCTTCTTCCATTTTTTGTAGTTCAGAAATAATGATGAGCTGTCTATTGAGGGTATCAAGTCGCGTTGAAATATTGTGCATCCCAAATTTTAATTAATATTTTAGAATTAATTGTCATAATAATTTATTTCTTTTATGTAGATTCTAAATTACTGACATTTAAATAAATGATATAGTATATGATAGATATGAAATTGTTGAGCATCCATTTTGCATAGATTGTCTTCTTTTTTATTTATGTAATCTCTCAATTTATTATTGATGTACATTTACAAAATTTATTTTGAGCTGATATTACAACACTCTTTCGAGTAACAACGAATTAGACAAAAGTAACGCACACAATGCAAAATAATGGTAGTAGACAATCATCTACTAACAAAAAAAGTAGATATTCTTAAGTACTATTATTTGTGCAATGTATTGTCGTTACTTAAACTTATTTAAGCAAAAAAGATCGCATTATATATCGTGGAATATCTTGTTTCTCTGGGGATTTGGATTATGGATAGCTCTGTGTACAAGTAATATGTATAATTCAATTATAATAGAACAAGGTAAATGTTTGTTAAAGTAAATTTATTATTGATAAATAAAATAATGATTTTAATTTAACGTTAATTTATTTATAAAATTCAGATCTTGGAATTACGTATAATACTTCAATAAAAGCAAAGAATATAGAAGATATCGTAAATATTACAAAAACAAATTATAATTTTTGTAACATGATATTAATATTAAAAATTATGCTTCAATATATTTATATCTTTGTATCTATATCTTTTATATTATTTTTCATATATTCACATGGTTATTTAAAAAAAGTGATAAATAAATGGAAAAATATGTAAGTAAAATTTTCTTAATATAAAATATGAATAATAATGAATAACAATATAATAAAATATTATTAATTACATTTTTAACTTAAATTGATTTTTACAGGATGTGCAGCAGTTCAATTATTCCTTATTTTGAAACTTTCTTAAAAAATCGTAAAAAAAATGTTTTTAATAAAAATGATTCTGCTATGTTAGAATTTAGAAGAAAATTTATGACAAATTCTGAAATCAATCATAATACATTCTATTTTCAAACAAATTTAAGTTATGATGGTGAAGAAGATAAATTAAACTTGGAAAAAAATAAAAATATATTGGATAAAGATATAAATATTGTTCAAAATGAAATTATTTTTAATACTTATACATTATTGCTTTTCAACAATTGTGAACTTAATCAATACTTCAATAATCAACAATTAAAAAGTTATTTATCAATGAAGCATTTCATATGTCAAGATTCACAGTTTATAAAAAATAATTTGAAAAATTCAAATAATTATAAAAGAAATGATAATTCTTTATCAAAAAAAGTTATACAAAGAGGCATTGTTAGCTCTTCGCCAGAATTTCAAAATTTTTTAGCAAATTTAAAGAAATCTCAATTTTTTTATCCATGCCTATTAGAAGTATCTACAAGTTACATGATCCATATAAAATCAATACATAAATAATTATTTTACGTGCCTCATTTTAAATAAAATATTTTTATTTGTATTTGAACGTTTTTATTTTTAAACTTTTAAAATTTTAATATATTATAAAAATACACTCTTTATTGTAATTTAATTTTATATTTTTTTTAGCACAGTATAACACTTATATATTTCCAAATAGTGAACGAATTATTTATTTAGAGTTTTAATATATATAATATAACTAATATTTTTAACAATTGTTTTGCATAAAAAGTGTATAAAAATACACAATATTTCAAAAATTATCTTCTTTATTATATAAAATTTAAGAATTAAAATTAAAAGGATTGAACTTAATTAAAAAGAAAAAAAAACAGAATATATGTATGTAACATCATTATAAGATTATATTTTATATGAAATTATTTACAGTTTTTTTGGTATAATTTTAAAAAAAAGAATGAGATGATACAAAAGACTAACCTTCGAATATTTAAAATAGTTTAAATATAGCTGAAAGCTATCATTTTGTTATTTTTAATTACAAAAAATATTATGTCCTGAGAAATTTTATGTAGTATTTTGTAAAACTGTTCGCGTTCTTTTTGCGTTACCTGTTTTACAACTGTTTACATTGCTAGCAAATCTTAATGAATTCAATGTTTCATTATAACATTCGTCTAAAGGAGATATATTCAATAGCATTAAAGTTTTTGAATTACCACCTAAAGATGGCATTAATAAATGAGTGAGTTTGGAATTTCTGTATGGAATGTGTTCCTGCTTTTTCAAGAGAGCAAGAATAACATTGCCCAAATTTGCCAGTGATTTATTTATATTTTTCGTTTCTGCTAATCGTACTGATTCTTCACCTTTCAATCTTTCAGATCCTGCTAAATCAACCAAGTTCAGGTTTCCTATTGAAACCTCTTCTTTTGTCTTATGTATTCCAATTAGTTTTATTCTTGCTACTGAATGCGATCTTGATGATCTAAAATATTAAATTTTACAATTATAAATCTATTTTTTTTATTTATAAGGCATAAAAAAATGTAAATATACCGTTCATTCGATTGAGTAGCTGCAACTGCTCTATTACGTTGTGCTGTTAAAAGACATTCATGTAATTCTTCAGGACTGTGAATTTCCTCTATTTTAAGATTGCTGACATACAAATCATGTCCCTTACTATCGGCCATTCTAATTTCATGTATTTTCGATTGAGAATCAAGTAAATCAACAATATGTTCATTATAAATTTCAAGAAAACTAGCTTCTATTCGATATTCCCAACCAAGTAATTGAAATTCTTTCATTTCTTCAAATATATGTCGTACCTGAATTAATAAAAAAAAAATTTTTTTTGCAGATAAATATATATTATATATATATATATTAACAAAAAATATATACCGTTCTAGGAATCATGCCTTCTTTTTCAATGCCTGGTAAACCTTCCATTGTGTATGTTTTACCAGAACCAGTCTGACCATATGCAAATACACAAACATTATACCCTTCTAGGGCAGATTGAACTAATAAAGCTAATTCTTCAAAAATATCTTTTTGACTAGCTGTCGAAGGAAAAACTTTATCAAAAGTAAATTCTTGTCGGGTTCCTCTTAATTTTCCACTACAACTAATTGCATCAGATCCATCAAATTTTCCTACTTCAATAGTGCACTCATCTATAAAGTTCATAATACACATCCTATGGATAACATAGATATTTGTTACAAAATGTGTTGTATTTAAAAATTAAATATTTGATTATGTATATAATACATACGGTTTTCCAAATTCATTTGGAGTCCTAGGACGGACTCTACAAAATACTCTTATATTTCCTTTCATTTCTTGTATTGTATTATGCAAAATTCTACGATCTTTGTCCATTGTATGAACCAAGGATTGCAAATCATTTTTATCTGTAATCAATTTTTCATTAACCTTTCTTTCAGTTTCCAAGTTTGTTTCTAAATCTTTTATTAAAAATTCATGTTTTAGAAGTAATGTTTCTTGAGAAATACATTTCTCTTTAAATTCTTCCAACATTTTTGAAACATTTTTAAATGATTCTTCTGTATCTTTCAAACATTTTTTTAAATTTTCTTTTTCTTCTTGCATTTTATTTATTTCTATTTTTAATTCATTAAGTTCATTATTTAATGTCTTATTTAAATTTTCATATTCTTCTGCTTTTATTTTACATGTATTTTCATTTGTCTTCAATATATTCAATTGTTCTTGAATTTCATTATATTTTAATAAAGTTTCTTTATATTTCTGTCGTACACTAGACAGTTCGTCACTAGTATGGGCCAATCGACCCTTTAAGTCCCACTTTGAAGGCTTAGTTGTAGTATTATTTTGTACTTTTTTATTTGTTGTATCTTGACTAGATTTGCTAATAGTATTACTTGTTAATGTAGTGCCAGTTCGTTGCACAACTTTTGGCTTAATAGGAGGTTTAGTAAAAGGTTTTTTAGTTTCTCCATGTACAATGGGAGCATTAGCTGGTCTTTTCATAGCTCTAGTAGTAATAGAAGACATAGTTTTTGATCTACTTAAAATTTGTTTTGTTGGAGGTTTATTTTCATTTCTACATTTTGCAGTGATATTTATTGTACTTTTAGTTTTTTTTAAATTATCAGAAACATGATTAGAACTTGCATCAGGCAAATCATTTTGGTATTTTGACATTTTTTGATTATTTGTTTTTATATTTTCTGTACTTACTATTTTTGATAAATTAAATTTTGGCTTTGGTAAACGTGACTCCATCTATGTAGAATTATTAAAGATAAAAATTAATATAATAATATATATATATATATATATATATATAATAGTAATAGAAATATATAGCATGCATTTAAAAAATTCAACTAAACCTATATATATATAAACATATAAAATCACAATATATAATGCATTACTTAATTATTATCAAATTTATTCCTCTTCATGCATCTTTAAATCAACCATTTCATAAATCTTTAAATTGATTAAAAAATCATTTTTAATAATGAATTATTTACTTATCTATAACTACATAAAATACATTGTTCGTGATCAGAAATTTATATACGAACGATATAATTATCTAAAACAAACCTCGTATACCAAAATAATACAATCAAGTCCCTCGTAGTCACACGTTTATAAATTATTCATTTATTATTAAATTACCCAATAATTTTAAAACAATATGTTTATTCAACACACAAATGCATATTTTCTGTTATATTCGTGTTACAAATTCAAATTAAATATAATTTTCAGGAAAGCTTAAAATATTCACATAGAATGCTTTGTACAACATTCAAAGAGCGGTTAAATAATATCCGCTGTAGTATTTGAACTTGAATTTGCTTGAAAATAGCCAATCAGAAAATTACTAATATGAGAACCAATCATTTGATACTATATAAAAGATACAACCAATGACAATACTTAAGATTAATAATTATGAAACATTTTATTTTTATTAATTTTTTTCATATTACATTCAATATTGAATAAAAAAAATAAGGAATTATTAGAATAAATAATTTTATAAATAGATGAATGTTTCGATTAAATATAATTTTCTAAACAATTTCTAAGTGATATTTTTTTAATAAATTTTAATCAAAATATTAAGTATCATTAAAATATTAAAAAAATGAAATATTTTTGAAAAATAATAGATTGTTTTATAATCGAATGAAATGTGCCGAAAAATTTAAGGAAAATTTTTTTGAATGGCAGAGTTTATACTTTTATCAAAATGACGTTTCTATGGACACGTTGTCACAAATCTCCACACAATCTGTTTGTGAGCATGCGCACTGTGCACTGAAGATTAGCAAGATTTTCTATTCGCGCGAAATTAGTGACAATTGGTTTGGAACGAATTGAAATCTCTTAAAGAAATAATTTAAAAAAATGTCAGGAAAATCAAAAGCATTTACAAAAGAAGAAGAACTTCTTCTTCAAGATTTCTCAAGAAATGTATCAACAAAATCTTCAGCTTTATTTTACGGCAATGCTTTTATTGTTTCGGCAATTCCCATCTGTGAGTATATATTTTTCACAAGTTTATAAATATTATTTATATTATTATTTTATAAATGTATATGAATTTTATTATGAATTCCATATATGTTTATATTATATAATTTTATTAAATAAAATAATTATATAGAAACTATAATTTTTTTTTAAGATAACCTCTATTTTTATATTACAGGGCTTTTTTGGAGAATTCATTTGATCGATATCTATGCCAATTTAATTTCCTTTGTTTTAGTCACATTAGCGAGTACATATACTCTTGCTCTTGCATACAAAAATACGAAATTCGTGTTAAAACATAAGGTATTGTAAATTATTAAGAAAACATTTCATTAACATAGTTAATGAACAATTATTTTATTAATTAACATGTTAAAAAAAAGTATTCGTATTTTTAGATTTATTTTAAAAAATTAAATATTAAATTAAATATAAAAAAATTATATATTTTTTAGATTGCAGTAAAAAGAGAAGATGCAGTGACGAAAGAAATGAGTAGAAAGTTATCAGAAGATAAAAAAATGAGTAAAAAGGAAAAGGATGAAAGGTAAAAAATTATTAAACACAAGGAATAATATTAGATATATATTTATATAGATATATATATATATATATTTAAAATTTAATATAAAATAATTAAATTTTCAGAATTTTATGGAAAAAAAATGAAGTAGCTGATTATGAAGCAACAACATTTTCAATTTTTTACAATAATGCCTTATTTTTAGCTCTTGTAATTGTATGTTCTTTTTATATTCTAAAGACATTTACACCAGCTGTAAATTATATACTTTCTGTGGGTGCAATGAGTGCATTGTTAGCATTATTATCGACTGGATCTCAATAAAATACATGTTGTAGAAATATATATATATATATATATATGGAATGCATAATGGTAATCATTTAAAATCATCGATACATGTGTGATTCTGCAATTTCATGAGTGAATGAATAAATTTAATAAAATCGTTTTTAATTATAGTAGTTTCATTGATTTATATTGAATTTATACTGATTTGAGACAAAATTATTAAATGTTTTTTTATATAATTTAGATTGTAATTTTAACAGGATATAATAAGTTTATGTCAACTTTATATCAAAATTATATATATTTAGATATGAGAATGATTAATAATATAAAATTGCCCAAAAAATATGAAGAAAATCAATCGCTTATTATGAAAAGAATTTCATATGAATTTCAATGATTGAAAATTATTATTACGTGGATCGACAATATTTGCATTACAACAGTTCGAGTTATAATTTACCGTCGTTTGCGGCAACTGAATATTTTCGTTCGAATTAATTAAACTGATTCTATTACTGATGACGAATTATAACGGATCGCAGATTGTAATCCATTATATGCAGTCCAACACGACCATTCTAATGCTTTATTTGCTTGTTTAACTTGGACACATGCCAACGTATAACCTGTCGAAAGAAAATCTCTCGCCAAATTGTATATTCTATTCTTATGCAGAAGTGAAAATGCAAACATTCATTTATATCATACTATTATCATTTGCATTTGCATTAAGAGTTGTTATATTTTGTATAATATAATTCGTAATTTAAATTAATATTTGTTGAAATATAATATTTAAAATCCTTGTATTTTAGGAATGAAAGATTTATAAATTTATGTTTATTAGAGCATTTAGTATGTGTATATCACGGAATAATTTTGCAAGTGTGTTATAACGTGAGAAATTCATATTGGCGCAATTGTAGCTATGCATTTGGCAAAAACATATCAGTTTCCTTGTTTGATTTATGTCACCACGTGATATTCGCGTAATTTTCACAATATTCTTTGAATAAACTGCGATTCAATTATTGCATAGGAAACATTAGAAAATTAGAGCCTACCAAAGCTTAGAATCCCTCAACAGCTAGATTAAACATTCGACAATTACTCCGTTCAATAATAAATAATAGTTTACAAGATTTACTGCAACATATTACTCAGTTGCATATATTTTGGATCTTTTCCAAATCTCAAACTACATTCTCCAGATAATCCGTTGATTGTTATGCGAATCGGATTATCCAATCCTTTATTATTCGGCAACAATTATCAATAACAATCATCTTATTAAATATTTTATTACAAATCGTGACCAACGTTTGTCATTATTGATGGAATCTTTCGAGGAAAGATAGTCTTGAGTTTTAACGCGCAATGAGTTTTCTATTGTTCGTTCGGTTCGCGTTTTAGCATTTAACAGACGAATCGGTCAATGTTATGCGATTTTATGTGCTGCTGGATTTCTATTCAAAATAATTACATCATGCACCCAGAAAACTAACCGTTTGATTTGAATATAATATGCGTATACAATCAAAATTTGAAATCTATGCAGTTACAAAGAAACTGAGCAGCGTTTTAATATGAATCTAAGAAATTTTCTAATCACTTTATAATCCGCGATTAATTCAAATCTATTCATAATCTTAGAATTATAGCGAGCCTGTTAAAGATTCAAGCACGAGTTTTTTAAATTTTGAAATTTTTTCACGATCAATATTTCGAACGAAATATCGAAATTTCAATCGTCATCTTTCAATTAATCGAAGCAATGCAACTCTCGGATATAATACGTTGTAACATTTTAATAATCGTAACAAGATCTTGTCTCGATTCCAAACCATAAGTTCCACATGAATTTTTATGCCTTTGTCGTTCTTCCGTGGCTTACGCAAATCGCAAAATTTTCATTCTCTATTTTCGTACCAATGCAGCAATATCGTTCTCCTCTTTTTAAAAAGACATATACGCGCATAGTCGTCTCAATGAACAAGACTCGAGTGAATATGTTGCTCCAGCGGGCGTCTAAAATTAAAAAGGAATCCATTCCGTCACATTTCTCCGCCGCCTTCCTCCGCTTCGTAATTTCAATCTTAAATTATTTACAACGGTGCACTTTCCTCGTAAAAAAAAAAGAAAAATTCTCGCTCCTCTTTTATGATCCGTTTACAACAACAACAAAGGCGGCGACAAAAATTTTTCTTCTTTTCCTTATTCCTTCCAGATTGTCAATTAAAGCAATTTATAATATACAATAAGTCTTCGATACTCTGCCAATTCCGTAAATTTACATTAGATTGAAGCATAAATTAATTTGATCTCCAAAATTATTCGATCATAATTCCAATCTCGATCTACTTAACCTCCAAAATTATTCTGTCCAAGATCATCTGGAATAGAAAAAAGATGCGATGATTCATGATGCATACGAGTATCACAATCGTACGATTGCGATAAGAATTAATTTTAAAGATACGGGAAGAAAGAGGGAGAGCGAGATGGCTGGAACGTCGAGAGACGAAAAGACGGCCCTGATTTCGAGCCTCGCGGCACCGTCTGCATCCCAGAAATAGCGCAAGCGCCTTTCCAAAAGCTTTAAGGCCCGTGAACAAACGTATAGAAGGAGCTCACGATTGGCTGGAGGTTGCGGGGTGCGGTCCGGCATCGCTACGCAACCGCTATATCCTCGTTTTCGAATATTACCGCGACGATGGCCGTTCCTCGTGACAGTGTTCGACAGACAGCAACCATACCATCTACCAGTTTCTAGATCACGTAGAGAACAATTTCTCTTTTCGTCGCGAGTACAACAATCCAAGTTCGCGACTTTTTCCACGACGATTTTTTTTCGTCGTATTTCGACAATTGTCCAGCCGAAAGTGTTTCTTAAGTCTTCTCATCTCTTTAAATAAATTAGCTTGTTGATAATAAAAAAGAGAGAGAGAGAGAGAGAGAGAGAGGAAGAGAGAAAAAGAGAGAGTAAAAGATAAAAAAAAGTAAAAAAAAAAGTATAAAAGTAAAAAAAGAGAATCGCGCCACCATGGTATGTTCTATTGATGATATCGTAAGTCGTCGCCCTGGTAAACATACACGTTTTCCTCTTGTACATTCTCTCTATATTTATTTATTGTATTTTTTTCTTTTCTTTCTTGGTTTAATTCATCACTGTGCCTCGCCTTATCTCTGTGGTTTTTCTTCACTCTTCACTCTTCACTCTTGTCTTGTAATCGTCGGACGAATTGGAATTTCGAATTATTTTATTTGATCGAGGGAATATATATATATATTATATTATATTGAAAAATTCTTCTTGTTATAAAAGAAATTGATTTTTCTTTTTATATATCGATTACTATATTATTTTTATTTCACTTTTATTCCAACGTAAGAATTTAAATAGTTTCAATTTTCAAAGAAATCTTCTGTTCCGCGTGAAGAAAAGATTTTTTTTTTTTTGTGCGTCTTCCGTTAAAGTTGGAAGAGACTCCATGAAAGATGGAGACGTGTTAATTTTCTGATTCTTTCGAGAAAAGAAATTCGAGATGCACCTCATTTGTTTCGTTTTACACGTATTAAACCATCAATCATCCATCATTTGCTTTAGAAGTTAAATTAATAATGGTTTGAAACACCAATTCCTCCGCTTCCGCTGCAGTATGCCTGCACCCACTATTTTCTTTCTTTTTTTTTTTTTTTTTCTTTATTCTTTTTTCTCTTCTTTCGTATAATATCTTTTCTCGCCTGTTCTGACTTTTGTTTTAGTATTTTTTTTTTATCTGTCTAAACAGTAACAATGACCTAACAATCGATTAAAATCGGGAATTATTATGGTCCAGAGATGCGAGGTCGTGGAAACGTGATTGTTTCTTACATGGCGAACTTTCTCGGACCTTTCCTTTTTCGTGTTGATTTATTCTTTAAAATAAAATCGAATCATATATATATATATATATATATATATAATATATACATATATATGAATACGTGATATTTATCGTATTATACGATGCGAGAAAAATTAGAAAGAAAAATTATTGAATGAAACGAATGAAATCAACAAGGAAAAAGAAACACGGCCCGATGTCCGACTATTCACGATCGTTTCTACTGTGTTCAATCATCGTAAAATTATTTTTTTTTTCCGGTTAAATTCAACTGTAAGATAAAAAGAATAATATTTGATTGAGAAAAAAAAAATGCACGAATTTTCAAAAAAAAAAAAAAAAAAAGAATCATTGGTTAACCATGCACGTCTACTTCGAAATCTTTTCAAAATTAATTTTAATAAAGTAACGGAATGTTTCTTCATCTCACAAATGTTTAGACATGATCGATATTAAGAACGATTCACAATTAGAATTTTCTTTCTCTTTTCCGATCCCTGATATTAGAGATATCAAATTTCATCTTTCTCTGTTCGCAGGCCGACGAACTTCCCCCTGAACAAATTGCTGGTACGTATCAAAATATTAAAAAAAAAAAAAAAAAAAAAAAAAAAAAAATATTAACTCTTAACGTTCGATCAATTTTAACCAATCATCGTTCATCGTTCGACTATTTTACGTGAACATTAAATATCAAATCCCATCATCTTGCAAAAAAAAAAGTATAAAAAAAAAAAGAAGAAAAGAAAAATCGAAGAAAATTCGAGAAAAGAAAAAATTCAAAAATAAAAGCTTCGAACATCGGTCACGATACCACCACCGCCTCGGCGCACCATTCTTGGTATTTCAATCGCGTCGAAATCGTATCGTGTTTACTGGACACGGGCGCGCTAAATTTAATCGGGAGGCCCGATGTTCCTTCGTCACGTTTCCCTTTCGCCCGTTTCCTGACCCTTCTGCCTGGCGAACAAGGGGGCTCGTTCAATCGTTCCGGAAGATCCCGCGCCGATGTAACCGAACCGTCTATCTTTAGGTACACTCTGTTCATCGTTTTATGTCGGAAGCCAACTACGTCTCGTGTCCCGGAGGAAATCGGCCTCTGTTCGTATGCCAACTCTAGAACAAAGAAACTCTGTATTTACGGGAACCGTGTAATCTCGTTGTTTATCGAGCAGCTTAGCGACAGCGAGAGAGGGGGAAAAAAAAAAAAAAATAGAAAACATCGTGTTATAGGAGGGAAATTTCCAAAATATATTGGGAACGAATTTTCATTAAAAACTGATGATTAATTCTTGTTTCTTGATCTTTGAACTTGATTTTTAACACTTCATCCTAATTTCATATTTCTTTTTTTAAAGACTTTATACATTACAAATTTGTTTCTTTTTTTACTTCTATTAAAATAACTTGTCGATATAGAGGTATCTGCGATTTCGATTTTTTTTTCAAACTTTAAACAGGAAAAAAAAATGAAAACAGAACAACGAATAAACAGGTCAGATAAGTTATCTAGACGCCACGTTCCTAGAGTTTATTTATGCTTCAATTCGATCGGGGGCAGCCAGTATAGGCTGCCTATGTATAGCTACAGAACCGCCTTAGTATGATGAGAAGGTATCGCGTGACGATTCGATCGGAGGGAATCGGATTGGTAAAAATAGAGGAAAGAAATTTCTAATAGAATGAAAAAATAGAAGCTCGTAATGTTCCTCTGGTTCTAAAAAATGAAATATTCGAATTATAATAACGCGACAAAGACATTTGTCTTCTAGTAAATGTATATAGATTTTTTTTTTTTAGTTTTTCATCGAACTTAATATTCAGCTGTTGATTATTAAAAACATTTTTTTTGATTAATGTAAAAAATTACTTGTCTTCTATATAATGAAAATAATAAGAAACATTTTTTTTTTTAAAAAAGATTACTAGAAGCTCAATAAAAAACAAACTATCGCATAAATTAGTTTTACACCAACCGGTCGACAACGATAAATAAACATTCTAACTAGCATGAACGATGGTGCATCAAGCCAAATAAGCTTTGAGCCAGAATTACGAGCGAAAGGGCATTAACATCGGTTTCTAAATTCGTAACTGTAGTCGTAGACAGCTTTCAACGCGATAAAATAACACTTAAGATTAATCATATTTTTCTTAAAAAATTTTTTCTACCTTTATTTTTCAGTTCTTCGCAAAGCGTTCGACAGCTTTGACAGGGAGAAGAGTGGTAGCATTCCCACTGATATGGTGGCTGATATTCTCAGATTGATGGGTCAACCTTTTAACAAGAAAATTCTCGACGAATTAATTGAAGAAGTCGATGCCGACAGTAAGTAGTTCAAATCCAATATTGATCAAACGTTATTGCGATATTTAAAATTATAATTATTATGATAATTTAAGATAGATATTATAATTGGTATAATAAAAGAGTAAATTAATAAATTTCTGAATGAAATTTTACTTCTTTCTTCATAGAATCTGGACGTCTTGAGTTTGAGGAGTTTGTTACGTTGGCAGCGAAATTCATTGTTGAAGAAGATGCAGAAGCATTAGAAAAAGAACTTCGAGAAGCTTTCAGACTCTACGATAAAGAAGGTAAATATATATTTGTTTGTATAATTTTTATTTATAACAATGTAATCTTATTTTATAACTTTATCTTACTTTTCTTTTCATTATCTTGTATCTTTTTGTATTGCTTTATAATTTGTTTTATATTATGAAGAAAATATAAAAATGTAGCAAAAAAATGAAAGATTAAGTTTAATCATATTATTTGAATCAAAGAAATTTTTGTTGAAATTTTTCTATTTCAATATTTTTTTTCTACTATTTTTTCAACTTACTTTTGACATTAATTTCTTATAAAATTTATTTTTTTTTTTTTATTAAAATATTAACAACGGATAAATCATTATATATACTCACTATAATCATTTGCGATTTTCGATAAATTAGGGATTGAAATAGTAAACAGAATAACAGAAAAATGGCGCAAAATAAGAATAAAAAAAATATATTAAATGGCCGAGAATAGCCAATTCTCCGAAATTTGCTGCGTAAAAACAGTACCGGTCTCCGTTTCATTTCATGGGAATGAAAGCCGACCGAATTTGAGAAGACTTATGCCTCCGGGAATACGGCCAAGAAATGGGCCGTTTCGTCATCGAAGTCTCCATGAATTACGATCGAGCCAAAAATTTTTAGATGTACATATATTAATGCGATTATTCGTTTAAGATTTTATCCTCTTCATTAATAGATAATAATAAATCATCTTTTTCAATTTTATTATTGAAAGACATCGTTGATACTTAAACAGAACACTTTGTTCTAGGAAATGGTTATATTCCGACTACATGCTTACGTGAGATCCTTAGGGAATTGGACGATCAATTAACAGATGAAGAACTAGATATCATGATTGAGGAAATCGATTCTGATGGATCTGGTACTGTTGATTTTGATGGTAAGAAAAAATATAATAAATTAATAAGTATTTTTAAGATAATTGAATTTATTTAATTTGATAGGTTATACTTATCGATTCGAAACTATTCTTATTATGATTGATATTATGAAAGTATTTTTAATTATCATTATTTCAATTCTTGATAAATGTATTCATAGTAATTCATAGTATTCATTCAGTTAGTAATCAATTAAATAGTAATAGAATATTTGTTATTATATTGAAGAAGTTGCATATGTTGTCTATTGAATGCTTCTTCAGCAATATATATTAATTGCGGAGTTTATTTATATATACATGTATATAAATATGTACATTTTCGATATTATCGTACTTAATAATATATCACTATTTATGTACTTAGTTAAAAAATCAACATAATGTTTTAAAATTTTGAAAGTTTTTATTTATCAAATATTTTTTATTTCGATAATCCATTTTTTTTTCTCATTAAATATTTTTTTTATCTTCTGTTTAATATGAAAGTTACTAAAATAGAATTTGCATAAGATTATTCAGTATATTCAATGTTTAGAATATTAAATCATCATAATCTAATTTTATATAAAATCACTCAATTTTTTAAATTTTCTAATGATTGCGAATTATAATATATTTTTATCTTAATATAACCACTCCAACTTTAATACAGAAATCCTGGCATCTTCTTAGAACAACAAACAAAATGCATTGCGTATCAACAATAATTTATCTTTGTATAACATTGCCAATAGTCACAAATAAAAATGTCTCAAATATGTCCATGGACATATATAACAGATGATTATATAGTTGTTTACTTTTGTTTGAATCAATTACAAGCTATATATTAATATTTTTCTGATATATATTACAAACATATTCACTATTCTCTAATTGTTATATAAAATTGCTATATAAAAGAAAAAATAAAATATTTTTAATTTTTTCATTATAATGTTCAAAATTAAAAAATATTTTTTTAAAAAACAAAAAAAACAATTAAAAATATAACTAAAAATTTTATTTATATTTGATTTTTGGGATTTGAGCAATTAAAATGTTTTATTTCAGAATTCATGGAAATGATGACCGGAGAATAAATATTCTTACATGTTGATGATTCGTTACGATTCAAAGACAATACAAGTGCGACGATTACATTCAACTCTCAAACTAATTATCTGCGTGTCTTTAAAAAAAAAAAACAAAAAAAGTTACAATGCAAAAAAGAACGGTGCCTAAAAATGTGCAAAGGTTATGTCTTCCAACATTTTGACGCGTCTTCGTTTGTTGGCCATATCTCGGGACGATTTAAAATGTATGGCTTCAGTGTCATGGGAATGCGTCTACAGATTTTTCTTCTATTTTAACGAGTACTTTAACTTAATTTTTTCATACGCAAGTTGTGATTATTGTGTATTGTAAACGTAATAAAAATCACGAGTTCCAATACATTTGCATCGCGCCTATTAAGTTTTTCATGGACAGTATTTATTTGTTGTTAATAAAACGCTATTAAAAAGATATATGTTGAAATTTATTTTTCTTAATAAAAGTTATTAAAATAATAATTTGCTTATATAATTTTCAGGAAAAAACAAAATCAAGCGATTGATTGCCTAAACTTTTTATTTCTTTAACATTTGATTTATAATCACAATAATTTGAGATTTCTTCATAATTGACATGTCAATAGTCATAAATGTAACATAGTATAATATTTTTAAAAAAATAGAGTTGCTAACAATAGACTAGAATAACTATAATAGTGGCACTAATAAACTATAAAGTTTTACTGTAAATTTGTTCTTGGAATTTTTGAAGTTCTCTAATTGCGGAAGATCACTCGCTAAACAAATTTATATTTTTATTAGAATATATTATTAGAATATATATATTAATGCATCATAAGAGAGAATCAAATACATTTGAAAATAATGTATGACTTAGAATATTACTCGCATAAATGTAGACTAGACTATACAATCAGATATAAGAGATTATAACTAGTTCAATTAGGACTAAAATTTTTTGTTTTCACAAAGAATTTTCATAAAGAACTTTTATTGATTTCAACTATGTTTTAAATTTTTTAATATTATATCAGAGCAATAATTCCAATATTTCATTAATTTTATTCGTGCAGTTGAGCTACCTTACTTCATATATACTAATTTATCTCTATCAGGGTATTTGGAATGATTTTATATACTTCCAATGGTCCTCACATGCTTAAAATGATAAACATTTTTCTTTTACATATACATATATATATATACAATGATTTTTAAATTGTGATGTAATATTGATTTATATATTTTTTTATCTTCTCTGTATCTTTTTTTTAATCAGAATAAATAGTAATGTTTACTAGAAAGATTAAAACGGGAAAAATATAATCTCATGCACTTAAAGTTCTGCGAATTATGTGTGCGTCTTTGATATATTATTGGCTGAGCAAAATATTTGCAAAATAGTATTAGAAAAATAAAGAAATTTTTTGATCGGTAACTTGATTCTTCGTCATTCTTCATCATTGTACGTACCGGAACCTTATACAAGAGTTTGCAAATCATCATCCTCCAAGTTTTTATTGTCGGAGGGCGACGATAAAGGTCACATTTTAAACAAATGTGGAAATTCATTGCTAATTTCACGCACCGATTGTTGATCTTCTTGACTCTCTCCAGTTTCTTCACAGAATATTCTGTAATAAACATTTTTTCATTATTATTTTAATAATTATGATTAAAATAAAATTATAACAAATATTGACCTTGTAAAGCATTTCAAAAGATCTTCTGAACGATATTTATGTTCATTATAGCTCGAAGTACGTAATACTCTTCGACATAATTCCAAATATTGTCTACGCTATAAAATAAAAAATTATATGTTTTTTTTTTATATTGATAATAAAATTTTGTATATTTTTCAATACCTTATCACCGGGAAACATATCGTATAATTGACGCAATATAATATCGATTAAAACAAATACATCATTTGTATAGAAGAGGCCTGCTGTGACATCGTTGCTAAATAGGTCGATAAATAGTTTTAATACAGAATGAGGTGGCGACGGTTCATGATCGAATATTCGCACAGGATCCTCTGTAACAGATCATTCGTTCGCTGAAATTTACTTATTTTATGTAAAATACGTCTTATTTTGTTTTACCTTCTCTATTAAATAAAAGTAAGATCTTTTCAGTAAAATTTTTTGCCACTGTTCTTTCCTTTAACGCATTCAAAACTATATTTTCTGAGTTGGTGAATTGTAAGTTGTATGATAATATTAAATTTACAAACAAATCTGGAATTTGATCTTCCAAGTCCATATCAGGAGGATTTTCAATTAAATCCAAAATAAATGTTATAAAATCCGGACCTAATTGCTCTATAATAAAATTTTAATAAAATTATATTTTGTAACAAATAAAAAGGAAAGTGAAAGAAGTAGGATAAAGATACAACAGATATAACACATTACCTACTTTACTCACCCAAATGTGTAACTGGCATAGGTTCACCCATTGAAAAAATCATAGTAAGTAATAATGAAGAATAATTTAATTTTGTAACATTTCTGGAATTACTTCTCATATCTCTATTGAAAGATACACATTAAGTTGTTAATCAAATATTATATGAATATAATGTACTAAACATTACCTTGCTAATTCCATAGGTAATATACTATTTAACATTATAGTTAAGATAACAGAATCTAAACTACACATTACTCCAAACGATTGTAAAAGTAATTGTCTAATAGTCCATCTTGGTTCCATTTGGTAATATTGTATCAGTATATTAACTCCATTATATTGATTCTGTTGTAAAACATATCTAGATACATTTGCATCTGCATTGGTCTGTAAAATTAATAAATTATATAATTTATTTGAAAATAATATTACATTTTTTTAATGTAATATTTAACATACCAATATAGAAGTAAGTTCCTTTATATAATCAACAATAATAGATTCATCTTCATAAAGCATCCAATTTCTCTGTTGAGAATCTTCTTTACAAGAAGTAAGCTCTGTAAAAATCACTTTCAATCTATTAGCATCATATGTTTCCTCTATGCTCATTTGTGATACAGTAAATGGTGTTTCTAATTGATGCAATAATGCATCAAAATAATGGCTCACATTTTGAGGTAACAATTGTTGCAGGCCAGAAACAACTACTGTTACTGCTACTTTTGACATTTCATAACTTAATTGAGTATTTCTACGTACTTGGTCAAGTAATTGATAAGCAGTATGAGAGTTAATATCACATAATGAAGTTTTTTTCTTTATAGGTGAACTAATGGGGGTATGTTGAGAATTACTCTGAGAAGGACTTTTACGAATTTCTGTTTGAATTTTTTGTGTCTCAGAAGAAGATTGACGTGAAAGAGATTGTACCCTTTGGTCATTTATAGATGTACGTTGACATTGTGGAACAACTGGTGCTTCTTCTTTTCCTATATTAGAATGCATAGTTGTTTGTGCTGTCATGTATGAAGTATTACTCTGAACAGTACTAATATCTCCATCTTGAGTATTACAAACAAGCGATGAACATATTTCTTTAGGTGTTGTGTTTCCAAAATCAGGAGGCATTGGAGCTTGTTTCTTAGGTTTCTTGTTAGTTTCTGCTTGTCTCTTTTTTTCTATTAATCTCAAAAGAAGATCTTGTTTGTCTAAATGCAATCCAGTCTGTTTTTTAGTTTCAGTTTTCACATTTTCTATACAATCTTCTAAAAATTCAATCAATATTTGAGATGGAACCTAAAAAATATTTAATTTTTAATCTTCTTTAGATTTTCAATTACTTATTATGATAATTTCATTACCTTTACAGTGGTGACGTAATTCGAGGGGATATATCCAATTTGACCATCCTTATTAACGACCTGCCACCAATTTCTTTGTTTAGTATTGCTCTGATATAAAATAAAATAATCGCCCTCTTGAAAGCTAAGGGTTTTTGCGAATGTAGCCTTGAAATCGTAGAGAGCTTTAAGCACTTCATAATTCTCTGTATTAAATGATTGATAAAAAATATTAGATAAAAAAATGCAGAAACTGATAATGATAACTGCAGAAAAATCGATTATCCGACTTACCTAACCTCATGGAATTGTCACCCATGATCACGTATTGAAATGGAAAGTGATATTTGTTCTCAAAGAGACAACGCCCAGGTGAGAAGTAAACGGGCGGAGAACCGCCTACCTCCGTTCACTAATTTCACTTTCATTCCTGCTCGACATATTATTTTTCTACGGTGTCTTTTTTTGTTGGCTAACTATATAGATGAATTCGAGAGAGCCCTCTATATCGTAAGATTGGCATAAGCCGAATGTGAATGATGCTAAATTGAAATAGCAATATCTATGATACGAAGACTTCTCAACGCATGGGCAGATTAAAATTTTGCATATATACCTCTATATCTATAAGACCGTTTCAAGATATGTTGAAGTTAGCTCAAATAAATAAAGATAGCAATATATTTTTTAAATATAATATAGCAGTGAAAAAATTGAAATTGTATTTAATTTAATTATATTTGGGTATTTTTAAATATAGATATCGCGAAAAAAGATTTTAAATAATTATCAAATAATCTTGTTTTTTTACAAAAAGGATTATCTTGAATCAATTTATAACATAAATTTCATTAAATTACTTGCACGTTATAATCGATTGAAATTACTCAGTAGGTAATAAAGTTATAAATTTGAAACTAAAATATAGTTTTCGCAATATCTTTTAACCTGAAATAGAAATTGCAATATAGAAGAAATTCTAAATCGAACCATACTTTACATTTAACGTGATAAACCATACGAATTTCGTAAAGAGCAATAATCTGGGTACTATCCAATTCCAATTATAACGTTCTATCATATAATATTCGGATTTCAAACGTAATTGGTAAAACGATAGGGTAAGAATATTAGCGACAGTGAAATAATCAATAAAATTAATATTTAACACTATTAGTAGAAATTTACATATTTTATGGCTGTTCATAAACAAAAAATTCTTTATATATCATTTTGTGTATATTATAGAACGCGTGAAATAAATTTATTATTGTATCTAAAGAAATTTTGTGTGAAATAACATGAGCTCGTAATGTATTATCTGAAAGATGTAATTGTAAACAAACATCAGTTCAATTTTACTTAAGATTTTAAAAGAAATTTTAAATTTATGTTAAAATGATTATAATATAATATATATAATATTTAGCTGAATTAAAATTTTATATTAATATGGCAAATAATTTGCTTATTAAATGAATGTGTCGTGAAAACACATCTTACAATTCATGGATTGTTTTAACGAAAGTAAGTACTACTTTTTTTATAATAATTAATTATATTTATATATTATAAATTATTTATTATATTTCTTAAATTATCATTCAAAAAATTATATTATCAAAACATAACCTTTATTATTAAAATATATAACAAACAAATGCATTGTTGTTCGATAAAAAAAATAATA